TCCATGAACATCCTCTGGCGCCTCAGATGGCGATCGTTGCAGATCGGACAAGAGCTGTTGGACGTAAGCTCCCTGCGTGCGGGACATGCCGGGACCTGGACCTCTGTCTATCGGCCTCGGCTTGATTGCATCACAAAACCTTGCATCCACTTCTCAGCCCAGGACGGAGGAGTGTCAGGATGCACCTGAGGCGTGGAACTGGGCAAGCTCGGGCATGCGAAGGATTCCGAGGCTGCAACATCTGTGGCTCTGATGCGGGTCTCGCTGTTCACATAGACGAGCCCATTCCTTGAGTGACTTGGCTTGAGCTGCAAGCTCTCTGGTGCTTGGACTCTCCGGACGTTTGCGCAAAGGGAGCATGACGTGGATCCTCGGGGCAGCACTCGGATTCCGAGCCATCACGAGGAAAGGTTGCACTCGCGGGACGGAGCCTTGCAGCTAGGCTTGCGAGGTGTCTTTCAGACTACCGGTGACTGGCAGACCAAACATCCAAGTGATGCTCTTCGCGCAAAGCCCCAACCCCGGACAGGCAACGCCCTGCAAAGCCTCCCACCGAGCACACATATGAACACCAGGACCGGGTATAGACATCCAGAAACTGCCTGGTTGCCGCAGGCAAATAAGCCCGGAAAGTAGCGTTCTGGCAGCCGCTGCTAGTACCGCGACTCACGGAGCAGGGCGCTTACATGCGCTGTCCAGCAAGCCCAAGTATCCACTGTCTGAGCCGTGTGCGTGTGAGCGACATCCAGCGGCAAACAAGAAGGAGGGAGGGGAGGGACAACGATAGAGAGAGAGTGGGAGACAGAGAGAGAGAGAGTGAGAGACAGAGACAGAGACAGAGACAGAGAGAGAGAGAGAGACAGGGAGAGACCTCGGCCATATCACGAGCCGCCTCGCTCAACACTCGCGAGAGTTGTGCCGCGGTTCTGGAGACAGATGTGTAAGGAGATCTCTCCCGACAAAGGACTCAAAGACTTTGCAACCCTCGACGCCATGCGCGAAGCTCAGGCCATGAAGGTGATCTGGTCAAGTACCGAAGCGGCCTGGAACGCCCGCTAGGAGGTCGGCAGCCCCCGCAGTTAGTCCTATAGGTGCAAGTCGCATGCGTCGGGCACAGCAGCACGTTCCTTTTGTGGATACCGCTCTGAAGTTTTTTCATGGTCCTGCCCCATTGCATGTCACCAACCTGCTTGACCTCGGAGTCAGAAAAGACGCTTTGGCTGCGGCCACACGCAATGGACAAGCTTCGCACCAACTCCTCGACGTAGGCCGCAAGTCGCTCCCACATCTGTTCCCAATGAAGAAACCTGCAGGCGCAAAACCAGGTTGTCAGGGACGGGAAGGAAATGACGCGAAAGACGCTAAGATTGGAACTGCTTGGATGACTCATCGACCTGCAGTAGCAAAGCCACTGCAAGTGCTGCATGCACCTGCATGCACAACCCATGTATCCCCGTCCTTCACGTCCAGCTGCGCATACTTCTCTTGTATTCGCAAAGTCTCCTGCGCACAGGCCAAGCCTACTACCTGGGAGATCCTGCTGCAGAGCAGTGGTAGCCCAAGCCTCTCGGAGTTGGACTGTGACGGAAGACTGCAAATCCTCGATGCGGCGTAAGGACTGCCTGGCAATGCTCCACTATGCTCCGCTGTTCTCCGTCCCGCTGTCCCGCTCGTTCCAAACGTAAGCGTGAGATGCCTGTCCCTCTTGCTTGTTTCCAGCGCAAAGGAGTCCATGTCCTGCCAAGCTGCCTGTACAGTATTCTTTTAACAAATTGCTGAAGCAGGGCTCGAGTCCTTCTTGTCGGCCTTGGCGGCATCAAGTTGCTTGATGGAGTTCCTGTCGGATAAAGCACCCTCGCTGCCGCCATCGCACTGCCCGTTGCAGAAAGAGCATGCAGGCTCCAGATGAGCAGGACATCGCGCATGATGGACTGAACCTCAGTACCGGATGCAGAGAGGTCCCGTGGCCCAGGAAAAGCAAAACAACCCCAACCACAAACCTTTGCTCCCAGCATCCTTGGCAAGCGCAAGAGCTTTCTGTGCCTGACGCCGGACACAGCCCCGTCTCGTCCTCCTCCCTTGACCTGGCAAATCCCGACCCACCTCGGATAGGTCGTCGACACTCTTCTCACAGACCGCCAGGCGGGCCTCCACCTGAACAGCAAAAACGGCGTGAGACTGAAGCGTGCTGCTCGTTGGCTTGGGGTGATCTCCCTGTCTCTCCAGAATCGCCTCATCCATCCGCTTACCACAAGAGACCAGCACGTCAGCAACTTTGGCATCCACCTTCTTTCATGTGATTGCATGTGTTACACTGTTACCCTGGCTGCAGCATCGAAGGACCCCAACCAAAGCGCCTCGTCTAGCCTCTGAGTGAGGTCAAGGATGATGACCCTCGTCTTTTCCACCCACTCGGCATTGATTGCCAGAGCCGTCCTGACAGCGATGAAAGCTCGGCCCGGGCCCCGAGAGCAGAACAAAAAAAGGCAAAGACGGTCGCCGCCGGTGGGTCGCCCTCTGTCGTCCTCCTTCCTCCGAGTGCCTCCCGTCCCTCCTGGTCTTCCTCCTCTCCATTCGTGCGCTTCCAGGCTTTCAACCGCCGATTTGATGAGCACCAGTCATGCGGAGGCGTGATTTCCGGAAGGATGGGACTCGTGCAGTATTTAGTGCTACACCGACGGGACCGAATTTTCTGAACCCGGGGCATGAGCAACAAAGCATGCCCACAACCAAGAGGATAGATGACTTGTAACTGCGGCCTTTGATGTGACATTCCAACTGTCGCAGCGGTCGACGAAGCACGAGTATACTCCCTTTGGATACTTCAAGCTCGGACGATGCAAGCCAGCCTTGGCTGCATGCACACACGCGCGATTCCTGCATTTGCGTACGAAACTCAAAATTCTCGAAATCACAGCGCCAGCTAGCAAAACGAAATGTTTGAATTTGCGAAGTGAGTTCCTCTGAAACAGCACGGATTGGGAATGGAACATGTTAGGGCATGTCTCAGCATCCGCGGAGGCGAGGCTTATCCTCTTTGAATGGCTCGAATGCCGGCTGGCGAAACTCCGCATGCCGAAACATTGATCTTCGGTTCCCATGCGTGGCAGCAACTGCTCGACCTTCGCTTTAACATCGAACTAACTGGCTGATAGGGCGGGCGTGAAGCCGCAACGATGCTGAGAGACTGATGACAAGCAGTGGCACGGACTTTCGTTGCCGGCATGCACCCCTTCAACCCCGTTGCAGGGATGGTGCGTGAATCGAACTTCAACAACTGTTGGAACATCAATGCGGATGATGGTTGCGACTGAGGTGCGAGACGAACATCTGAGAGACAAAGAAGACTCTACATCGAGCCAAAGATGACAGAATGTGTAAAATCCAGGCAAGCCTTGGCTAGGAGAATGGCCAACTACCAGGTACTAGTTTACGTCGTTAGCCCAGGTACAGTATGATCTTTCCGATCATGTCTCCTCCTGAAATTGAAAGCTCTCTGTCTTCTTGGGGAAGCCATCTCCCACCAAACCAGGGAGACCCGTTTCTGCAGTGTGGTGGAACATTTTGATTCCCAGCATAGTTCAGAAGGGGGTCATCTCTCGCCAAATCTTTTTGGCTGCGATTCTCTTCTCTTCACTTCCCTGCTGAGGTCTACACGAATGCTCTTTCACCGTCTCCGTCAAGGTGTCCAACTCTGTCCTGTGTCTGAGCGAAGCCGGACTTACTTGGGGGTATTCGCGCATCTTTGGAGCTCCTCAGCGTCTGCACGAACTCTTCCAGGAACGTGACCCTTGCAGGAAGTCCAGAGGCCTCAGAAAACATCTCAGTCTTCGGCAAAAAGTCACCACAGCCACGGCGGCGCCTCTATTTCCTTCTGCACATCCGGTATCAGCTTAATATATTCCTGCGGCCGCAGGTCCAGCCAATACGCGACAGGCCCAGGTACACAGGAGGAATTCACTTGCAACCAGCCTCGCGCAGCTGTTTCACCAGAGTCCAGATCGACGTGTGCCGCTTCCACCGGCTCAGGAACTGGCAGACACTCAATCATTCACAACCCGGCTGATCACAGTTTTGCGGCCTGGTGTTGGCGTTTCTTTCCCACACGGGCGAGGGAGGCACAGAGCCACTGGATGCCAGTTCTCCTGATGGATTGCGGGTCGAAGCGGCATTTTCTAACTTGGCAGACAGCAGCAGGCACGTAAGATTTGTCACCAAAGATCCTGCGAAGACTTGTCCAAGTGTGCTGCTGCCATACTGTCATAAGGTCTTTCGCGATGGCCTGAATCTTTGCAGCCGTTTGACTAGACATGCGCTAGATTCCGTGACTTAAGCTTGCGGCAAGCTTGCGGCGCTCATCGTGCACCGCCCTTAGTGGATATGGTGATCATTGCGAGGGTAGTAGAGATCGAGACGTAAATGACAGTGTAAAGCTGAGGCGACGATGGTGACGATGGTGTTGACCATGATGATGGTGGTGGTGACGGTGATGATGCTGACGATGAACCTGATGAAGATGATGATGCTGACCAATAACTTGGCGGCGATGATGATAATGATGATGAGGATGATGAGGATGACAATGAAGTTGACGAAGACGCAGCGTGAGCATAGCAGCTTAGCAACCGCAAGCCGCTCACTTTCCGATCATTTCCGGCAGACATCAGGGCTCAAGCGCTACCAGCTGCGTCACATACTTGACGTGAGATCGACCTTCTCGCCTTCCAGGTTGCTACACAACCCTCCTCTGTCGTCTGTGTGCTCGGGTCATGAGAACATGTTGCGGGAGAGCTCAACCTGTTTCACAGCCTCACACTGGCTCCAAAGCTATTCAGAAAATCGCCCCGGCACATTGGCTGAGGCAAAGCCGGCAGTCGTCCGCCCTTCCACACCAGCTCCAAGAGGTCCACGAAGATCGCAATGCAGGGCGGATGCAGTCCGTGCCCGTCCAGACAGGAGAGCCAGCCAAGGGCAATGTGGTTCCACGTCTGTGGCGAAACCTAGGCAGGATGGTGCCGCAGGCTCTGCGAATGAGATTGCTCGTAACGCCTCGGCTGTCAGCAACACTTCACTCGCGTCACAAACCAGAACCTCCAAGATCCCTTCACCCTGATGGACGATGTTGACTGCAAGCCGAATCTCTCTGGCCTTGTCGGCAGAACGCAGACTCTTCCTCTGATGTCCTCACGGCTAGCTTCATCCCAAGTAGTGTTCCAAACGTGCCTAGTAGTGGCCGTAGTGACGTAGTGGTGGAAGTGAAAGTAGCCCGAGCAGTAGCAGTAGGAGGAGGACGAGTAGTAGTAGTAGTAGTAGTAGTAGTAGTAGTAGTAGTAGTAGTAGTAGTAGTAGTAGTAGTAGTAGTAGCAGTGGCACTGGTACTGGTACTGGTACTGGTACTGGTACTGGTAGTGGTGGTAGTGGTGGTAGTGGTGGTAGTGGTAGTAGTGGTGGTAGTGGTAGTAGTGGTAGTAGTGGTAGTGGTGGTAGTGGTGGTAGTAGTGGTAGTAGTGGTAGTAGTGGTAGTAGTGGTAGTAGTGGTAGTAGTGGTAGTAGTGGTAGGAGTAGGAGTAGGAGTGGGAGTAGTAATAGCAGTAGTGGTCCTCGTCATCGTCGTCGTAGTAGTCGTCGTCATCGCAGTGGAGCCAGTAGTCGTCCTAGTCCTAGCAGTGGCAGTAGCAGCAGCAGTAGGGGCGGTAGGTGTACCAGTCATTGCGAAGGGGCTGGTGCATGGATGGATACGTCAATGCCTACTGCACCTCTATTAATTCGTGGGACTGGGAGCCTCCAAATACCTGTTCTGTAAAGCCTTCTCGCGCTGCACCGGTGTAAGTTATTTGGAATGTGCTGTTTACTGTTCTTATCTGACAGTCTTTCTAAGGCGGGGCTGGTCGTTGTGCCGGTGCCTGTTTTACTATACTGGCATTTCCATACCAGTTGGGGTGTCCTTTCTTGTTCCGAGAGGTTCTCGCTTCTCTGCCAAGTCAGTTCGACAAAAACAACTTATCCTGCCTTTCGTCCTGGTAGGCTCCTACAATCGCGTACAAGTCGCTACAATCTCTCGTCGTGGTCAAGCCCTGGAAGCGTCATCAAAAGCAAATACCTTTAAGACTTAAGTCTGAAAGGAGCCTTCAACACAAAGCCAAACCTGAAGCTTGCATTTGTGAGTTTACGGCCCAGTTCTGCTAACCTTCTTGTTTGTTTGGTGCGCCCTGCTCGTCTTGCTGTTTTTGTTACCGGTACATTGCTTGACTGACTTGCCCAACGTCACAGGGGGGAGTTGCCGAAAACCGAAGCTTGCTCAACATCCATAACTGCATACATATGTTGTCAAGCTTGACTAACCCAAGCTACGAAAATTGACAAGTTGTTGCGAAAAAAAGACACATCGCTGAACAAAAACTGAAACACCAGCATTTCTGACGCTTTTCCACACCCAGCCGAACAGGCTGGGCACAATAAGATTCAACCATTCAACCAGTAATACCTCTATGATTTCCAACAATTACAATCTGCGCCTTCACAAAACGCGAAAAAGATCGACACAACACCCAATGTGCAGTTGCAACCAACGCATGCCGTCGTGTTGCTTTGTTGTTGTGGTTGCTGTTGCTGTTGCTGTTGCTGTTGCTGTTGCTGTTGCTGTTGCTGTTGCTGTTGCTGTTGCTGTTGCTGCTGTTGCTAAGCCTCTCGGCTCAGGAAAGGTCAGGCTAGTACAGTTGCCTTTTTCCTTTCTTGCCATGGCATTTGTCAGCGCCTGAGCAGTCCCGGTCCCAAGTCCGGGGGGAGTATTAGATTTACAGCTCTCTAACATCTCCCAGAGGTGAGGGTTGTCGGTATTGCGAAGCCGACAGGAGCCGTACTCAACATGAGTGCTGCGAAACAGCCTAGTGGTTCGACCAAGTACACTAGCTAGCGTATCCTCCCGCCACCTCCCTCTACACCTCCGGGGAGTACGTAGCAAGCCTAGCTTAAGCTAGCTGGCTTCACGCAGTAGCACGGACAACACGAACTTCTCTCTTTTTAGCGTTGTGGCGAAGTCCCGCGTTAGCCCGGAGAAGAACTCCCGCGTTAGCCCGGAGAAGAACTCTAGCCTTTGGCTAGCTAATCTCCAGGGTGGGTTGGGTGGGCACTCGAAATTTGCCCCCCAATAGCTGGGGGCCTTTCAGCACAATGGCCACGGAGTAGCACTGCTTCACCGGCCATGTGCAGACACTCTCGCAAACAGACAAGCTTCGTTCTGTTTAGCTTCAGAGGAAAACCCCTTCGACGTTTTCTAGCGAAACACCTTCGATGTTTCCCAAAGGGATACTGGCGCTAGCATACACTGTCGTACCTCGTCCCTCGGCACGAGTGCGTACACTAGCTAGCGTATCCTCCCGCCACCTCCTTCTACACCTCCGGGGAGTACGTAGCAAGCCTAGCTTAAGCTAGCTGGCTTCACGCAGTAGCACGGACAACACGAACTTCTCTCTTTTTAGCGTTGTGGCGAAGTCCCGCGTTAGCCCGGAGAAGAACTCTAGCCTTTTGCTAGCTAATCTCCTTGCGCAGCCGTAGGGCTACCAGGGACCTAGCTTACGGGCCTTCTTAGCGAACCTCGGAGCCTTCGGCTCTCCGGTCCTTTTCCTCACTCCTAGCTCTTGGAAGTAGCTAGCCGAGTGTTCGAGGAGACGGCCCAGCACGCGCCACTCTAGCTTCTCCCCCTCCAGGTTCACCATGAAGTCCGGGGTCGTTCGTGAGATCGTCCGCTAGCTGGTTCAGATCCCTGCGGATCCACTGTAGCTGAAGCTCACAGTTCTTAGCGGAGAGTTCCTCTGCTAGCTCCATCAACACCAAGGTCGATGGGAACTTCGTCGTCATAGCCTTCTTCAGTAGCGCTTCGTTGGACTGGTTGTCAGTGTAGCCACGGATGGCCACCTTGGAGGTCTTCTTAGCATCCCCTTCCGCGACCCAGAGCCTCACACCAACCAGAGTAGCCAGTAGCTCCAACGCGGCTATGACCTTGTTCGGGTCTCCTTTAGCGAAGGCCCAGGGGGCCCATTCCTTCTTCACCTCTAGCGAGAACCAGGGACCGTGGCAGCCGTCCACTAGCTCGAGGAAGCCCCCAATCCAGGCACGTCCATTCTCGGCTTTAGCGTCGGTGTAGAAGGAGAGCGGTGCCGCCCCGTCCAATAGCGAGGCCGGCTTCTGGAGACGCCCCCCGCTTCCAGGCGGTCTGCTAGCCAGCCACAGAGGACGCGAATCATCGTGGGTAGCGTGAGGAGCCCCAGCTTCCCCTGAACGGCCGAAGACCAGGCGTGAGGAAGGGGCGCTCCCAGTCTAGCGCCATGGAAGCGAACCCCAGGCGCCCTAGCCCTTGTGCGAAGGGCCGAGCCTCACACTTCCCATCTCGGACTAGCTTCCGTAGCCATTCCACTAGCCAGTCGGTTCTCTTCTGAGACAGGCCTAGCCTCCACATAAAGTACTCGGTTTCCATGCCTAGCCACTCCACCCGAAATCCCCCCCTCGTCTTGGCCCACTTGAAGGGGTACCCAAGACTAGCGAGGAAGAGATAGCTTAGCGGGATCCCCATGCGTCCTCTAGCCCCTCGGCCCAAGGACTCGAGGTCGTCGGCATAGAGAAGCATGTCTAGCGGGAACGATGGCCCTAGCAGGTGGTATGTGAGTCGAAGCCCACACGCCGCTATGCGGGTCCACCAGTAGCTCGCACATGATAGCCCGAAGGTCCCCACCAGATTAACGTAAACCGTCTGGCTGTCGGGGTCCCCCGGTGTAGCTTCCTCGGTGTCGATCTGACACCCTAGGTAGCCATGCTCTCCTTCGGCATGTTTGTAGCGTCGGTGAGCTTTAGCGATGTCGCCCACCACGGAGAAGGCCACCTCGTTAGCGTCGATGTGCTCCCGAAGTAGCTGCTTCTTCTCCCTAGCTCCTGGGGCCCGGATCTTGTCCCTGCACTTAATGCGGTGGTTGACCCGGACCCCGTGGGTAGCATCGTGGATCATCCTCTTCTTTCCACTAGCTTCGTCCTCGACGATGACAGCTAGCGCGGCGATGGCTCGATGCTCGCCATAGCGGGCTTTGAACTCGCCTAGCGTCATCTTGACCATGAGGCCCTCCCCACGTCCTCTTCGAACTTCTCCCTAGCGAACTCACGGTACTCCTCCACCGAGGAGTAGTTCGGGACCCAGGCTAGCGCCGCCTCCCAAGGGGCGTTCTCCAAGGGCCACTTTAGCTGTTCCTCGAAGACGTGGGGAGTGCGTGGTAGCGGGTCCCTCACCCCCACCGGTAGCCCCTCCTCGGCCTGGAGGAGGAAGTCCCTGTCGGGATCGCCGGCCGCGGTCAGTAGCGCCCGGATGAGGCGGAGGTATAGCGGCTGCCCCGGGGCCACCTTTAGCAGCTCCGGGTCTCCCAGGTCATTAGCTTCCAGCCACTCTTTCCAGATCAAGCGTAGCTGCTCCTGGAGATCTTCGGAGCTAGCTAGGGCACAGCCCGTGGCCCCCCCGGCAGCCATGCGGAAGGCTTCCTTCTCTAGCTCCGCTTCCGAACCTATCTTAGCGAGGATCACCTCCATCATTTTCTCCCGTAGCCAGTCCCAGTTGGGACCCTCGGCGTAGCTGCGGGTAGCGTGGGGCCAGCGTCCTGGGGAGCAGAGGCCCCCACCATCATGGGTGGCTCTTGTTGCCGCTGTTGGCAGGTCCTTGGTGGCCCTGAACCCCCTAGCACTCGCGGACCCTCCGGCTCGCAGGTCGGGAAGGTCTCGGGTAGCGGGCACTCCGGCCTAGCGCCACCCCTGCCAATGCGGCCGCTAGCGCTGCGAAGGCCAAGGCCCGCAAGGACGCGGAGGCCGCAGCAGCTAAGCTGGCGCTAGAGAAAAAGGCCGAGCACGACCAGAGGGTCGCAGCGGCCGCGCTAGAGCAAAAGCGGAAGGAGGCCGCGGAGCGGCTCGCTAAGGAGGAGCAGGCCGCCGAGCTGGAGTACCAGCAGGCGGTGGCCGCTAGCAAAGCCTCCCTGCAGGCCGCAGAGGAGGCCGCTACCAGAGACGCCACCGCTACCAGCAGTGTCGACCCGGCACCGGTGGCCGCTACTACCGCCGACACCACGGCACCGGCTAACATGGACCCCGGCAGAGTCGGCCGCTAAGTGGGCCAAGGGCCGCTAGCCCCTCGCCCCCTCGCGCTACCAGCCCG